GCCTACAGGCCAGCCCGATGCGCCTCAGGGCCATATCACGAATCTAAGGATTCCTATCGACTGAAAAGACCAGTTCACTCGACCAAATACGAAACAGAATGGGATACAGAAGAAGTAAAGCCACGAGGTTTTCTTTGTACACATATACGAAAAAACGCAATCTCCACCTACAAATATGCTTTGAAAATGCTACATACAGATGGCAAAATCTACTCCCCCGCCCCCTTGGGGGGCTACGGCCTACCGGCCTCACCTTTGCTTCCTTCGGCGTCGAACAGAAGTAACTGAGCATCACGCTCGTCCGCCCTCGCTCGCGCTAACTCTTCCGAGAGGACAAAACCCCTAGCATGGATCTCCTCAAGAGTTTTCCTCCGAGACTTACAGTGAGCATATCCCTTGATCGTGTCTTCACGATCGAGGGATTTTCGCAGCTCAGCTTGAGCATCGGCAACGTCCTTCAAATAGATCGCCATCCCATGGTAAGCCTTAGTTTGGCTTATCACGGCTTCAGCCCGGGCATCAACGATCTCAGCCCTGGCCTTCGAAAGCTCGGACTTGAGCTTTGTAATCACATCTATTTGAACCAAAGCATTGTCACAAGCTAAGTGAAGTTGAGTCTCAAGGGCGAGTCTTTTCCCAGAGCACCCTCCTCCGCTAAAGCCTGAGTGCCTGCCTGAGCCTTCAACTCATCATATTCGCGCTTGGTTTGGTCAACTTCGTTCCGAAGGCGCTCCAGGTCCTCAGCAATTTTCTGCAACTGAAATAAGCAAAACACTAGCCTCAGGAGCTTGAGGAAAGAACACAGCTCAGACAGAACAAAAACTACCTGCTTCTTCAAACAGCTCTCACAATTCAAGCTCCGACTCGCCTTATACTGTAAACATGCCAGCTCGTTTTCCTTTTCTTCGCAAAGGCGCCTAAGCTATTTCTCCTCGTCCAAAGCTTGCCGAAGCCTAGCCTCCCGGCGAAGCAGCTCGGACTTGAGTTTATCAAAAGCCTGCAAAAAGAAAACACGATAAGAAAAGGAGGGCACGAAACTCGGAAAACATGTGCCAAAACTCACCGCATAGTGAAGCTGCTGGACTTCCTCGAACGTCGAGCACACATCTGCTAGCCAGGCTTCCCCGACTCCAGTAAGTCGACCCCAATCGAGGCACGGTCGCTCTGCACATATGACCCCGGGTTTTGAGCACCCCTCGAAGTATCTTCGGCGGAAAAAGAGGACGGCAGCAGAGGAGAAAATGCCTTTCCAAAACCAGAAACCACCGGCGCAGTCGGCTGAATCGACACTTCCACTCCAGGCCCCCGGTCCAGGTTAGCCTCACTTTGAACACCGTCGCCATGCAAAAGCATCTCTCGCTTATTGTTATCGTGCTTTATCCCGGAAGCTAGCAACCCTCCCCCCTCTCCAAAGGAGCGCAGCCTCGCTTCGGAAGGCTCTCCAATGCCTACAACGGCAAGATTAATACGCGGAAAGGGAAAATGCCTCCACAAATGAAGGAAGGGAAAGGAAAAAATAGCACAACACGTACCGTGATGTTTTGCTTCCCATCTACCCCGGGACAAAGCTCGCCACTTGCGCTCATCACGAGTCGAGTAGGTCGCCAACTTCCGAACCCAACCTGGCAGATCTGGAATGTCGCCCGACACCCATGAAACCGCTACAGAAAAATAAAAGAAGGTAGGTTACTAAACCAGCTTTCGGCATAAACAAAGCTGAGAAGGCACGGAATGTACCACTTACGTGCATAATTCCATTCCCCGGGGAATGGCATAAACTCCACGGGGATAACGTCAGCGGTCCGAACTCGGACGAATTGACTCATCCATTCCCGATCTTCTTCTTCCTCATCGCCAAAGACAAAAGGTGTGGTCGACCGGCATCGCAAGGTTAGCAGGCTCGATGGTGAAAGGTCCGATACAGCCTAATAAGATGACTTAGCATGAACTCAAGACCCGCCTTCTCCGCAAAGATCTCATCATCAACACTATTCTCCAAAATGACGGGTGGATCTGTGCCAAGGTATCTCGGTACTTTAGACAGAAGTGAAGCACGATCTTATCAAGGGGGCCCAGTGTGAAAGGATACGTGTACACATTCAAGAATCCATCAGCACGATCCGTGATGCCCTCATCCGGGGAAAGTATCTGTAACACTACTTTCTCCATCTAGCCGCAGTCTTTTCTCACTAACCCAAGATACCCTTCTCCTATCAAAGAAGTAATCTTCAAGGTATGCTCTTGTTGGTCCCGAATGCCGGAGGCAGAGCTCTCCCCTCTCGCCCGACAGACCCCGATGTAATAGTCATGGCAAAGGCAAACTCAAAAAACTAAAGCAAGGAGTCGGTGCGAGTACGCTGGTACTGAAATGATGAAAGGCTTAACGCAGGAAAAAAAGGGAAACTACTTAGAAGGGTGGGATCTCCAAAAAGAGCAAAAATAACCCTATATATATATATATATATATATATATATATATATATATATATATGGAAGAAATGGCGACGGTCCGCATACCTCGAGAGGCCAAAGTAATCATCGCCGGTCCCAAGGTGGTATCGAGGACCTCCATCAAAAAGAAGTTAGGCTCTAAGTATCCAACGTAATCATCGATGGTCCCGAGGTGGTGCCCGACCTCGAGGACCTCCATCAAAAAGAAGTTAGGCTCCAAGGAGCCAACGTAATCATCGCCAGTCCCGAGCTGGTACCTTACCTCGAGGACCTCCATCAAGGAGATGGTAGGCTCTAAGGAGCCAACATAATCATTGTCGGTCCCGAGGTGGTACCCAACCTCGAGGACCTCCATAAAAAAGAAGTTAGGCTCTAAGGATCCAACGTAATCATCACCGATCCCGAGGTTGTGCCCGACCTCGAGGACCTCCATCAAAAAGAAGTTAGGCTCTAAGGAGCCAACGTAATCATAACCAGTCCCGAGGTAGTACCCGACCTCGAGGACCTCCATCAAGAAGAAGTTAGGCTCTAAGGAGCCAATGGCATCGCCGCAAGTCCTGAGGTGGTGCCCGACCTCGAGGACCTCCGTCAAAAAGAAGTCAAGCTCCAGGAAGCTGATGACACTATTACAAGCCTCGAGGTGGTACCCGACGTCGAGGACTTTCGGCAAAAAGGAGTTAGGCTCCAAGGAAACAAGCATTTAAGCTTCACCCATATGGGCTTGATCACGGGATACCATCTAAATTCGGGTAAAATCTCGTTTGTGATCTACCTACAATGCCTTTGGGCTATTTACACTATGTTCAAAGCAGGTTTCCGGGTGGCTCAGGTTTGAACGAACCCCGCTCGGGGACTGCACTCGAAAGCTTAAAGGCAGTCCCTATCCTCGAACCTCCGAGCAAATTTCCCCTCGAAGATTATCGCGAGGTCTAAATGATAAATCACGATCTCAAGGCTTAAGACAGTAATTTCTTTCAACTCGAAGTAAAGGTCCCGACGACCCGGGTTTATCGGCCCAATACAAGCTCGATCTAAGGGACCGCAAAGGATTCCGCAGGAAGCCGTATTAATCAATCAAAGATCATAAAAATTGCCTGTATCTGGGTTCGATATTGGAAGTGGCCGATTGGTTCACGCATTCAAAGTCTCCATAAGTTGAAATGAAAGAAAATATAGCACGCATTGAAGATAAGCTTTGGAAAACGTCTTTGTATTCATAAAACACTTGATTACAGAAGCCCACGAGGGGTCCTTACATATGATTACAAAAACCCACAAAGGGTCCTTACACAGAAACAAAGAAGCGAAAGATACACGTATAGTAAAAGCCTAGAGCCTAGCCTACTCTCAAAGGTGCTTCCTCGGCAGCCGCATCTTCGAGCGTCATCTCCCCGAGCATGCATCCTTGGCGGCAATGTCTTCGACCGCCACCTCCTCTGGGGACTCATCTCGGTCCTCCATAGTAGTATCTTCGAGGGAAAAGATGAAAAAGAGGAAAATGAGGAGAGGAAGAAGATGAAAGTGAGGCGGAAGAAGCAAAAAAAAAAGACATAGCCCGCCAAAGGCGAAGGTTGAAGATTCGGCGGGCACCAACCCTACTTGCACGGTCGCTCCAAGTTCACCTAATGGGACATAGTGTCGTTCAAGTTTAACGACCGGTCGTGCCATTTTATCCCTTGGAAAACCCAGGGGATGATGTGCCACACCAGGCCAGGGTAGGAGAATGAGCAGCGGTGTATAGTCCGAACGCTCTCCTGAGCAACAGTGTATTGTCCGAACTCTCTCCCGAGCAGCGGTGTAAGGGTCCAAAGGTCCCCCTAAAGTCGGGAGAAGTCGGCCCCCCTATCTCATCACCTCGAACCAACAAAGAAAGCAGTAAGAACCGCGACAACAATAACAATACCGACAAAACAATGTAATTTCGCTCGGCAAGGGAAAGCCCACGCAAAAGGCCATGGCGTGGCCGATGAGAATGCCGCCACATAAACTTAAGGCCATAGACCTCGAACATAGTTGGTGGCAACGGAGGAGAACAGTGGGGAGAAAGGGATGAAAAGAGGTTGAAAGGCACTTGGACAGAGAGATAGTGCTGGAAGGCCCCCATTTATAAGGGGTGATTATATGGCAAACGAGGCCATCAATGCCTTTGAAAGATGGATCGCCGGACGCAATCAATGTGTTATTAAAAATTTAGTTGACGGCAATACTGTCGCTTTGAAGAATGGGAATCAACAGCGCATTGAATAACGCTGAAAAGACAAGTCCATGGGACGTTCCGGTTATCATGAAGGCTTACATCATACGATGATATCATCGGTATGACATCATCGCGGGAAGTCCGAAGAGTTTGATGTCAAAATCATTTCTTATCACTCCTCTCTAAGAAACGCGGGGACTATCTATATACGGTGAAATAAAAGGGTCCAATTCATCGCCATTAAGGCACTTCGGAAGATCACCTCGAAGGCTCGAGGTCACAGCCGAGTACCCTCCCTCGAGGGAAGTCAACACTCGACCTCAGTATAGTAATGATCACGGTAATAGTAGAAATGGGGAGTTCCCAAGGTACACGACTAGGACTGACATATCCTAGCGGGCTACTTTGAACCCAAATTAGGGCTTCATTTAGCCGTCCTATCCCTATATCTATATAATTAATGTATTTTGTACTATGTGGGGATTTCCCTCCTATATAAAGGGATCCTTGTCATTTTGTAAGGCTCATGTTACTTCAGCTGCTCCATATGAAATATAAAACAACATTCTCTCTGCTCTCTTACATATTTTCTTGATATTATTGCTCTCACTTATTATCTTCATTATTATTCATCATTTATTGCTTATCATTGGTCATAAAGAGACTTCTATGATTTTATCTTAACTGTTAGTCATACTTCGATAACCCTCGATTGCTCACAGTCAAGCCCCGGAATCGACCTCGAGGCCCTCAAATCGACGAGCTCGAGGCCCCGATTATTAATCTCTCGGTTTGATCATCACCTTACCTTTAACTCTTATTTTGTTTCTAAGTCTCACATACATAGCATCAACTACTTAACAACTGGCATAAAAATAGATCACGTATTTTTAGAGTCCCACAATCAAATTTAATTGTAATTACCATTTTCACGGTAAACAACGGGGAAGTCTATAGAGTTAGGTAAGATTCTTCAGAAGAGGAAAATCAACATAGTGTGTGTTCAGGAGACTAGATGGAAGGGTACTCGGGCACGAGATGTAGAAGGGTTTAAACTATATGGTACTCAGAAAGCACTGGGGATAAGAATGGGGTAGGTATTTTAGTTGACAGGGACCTCAAGGAGCTCGTGGTCGAGGTTAGGAGGGTAAATGATAGGTTGATGAGTATCAAGCTGGTAGTTGGTGGGTTTACTGTAAACGTGATTAGTGCATACGCTCCTCAGGTAGGTTTGGACAAGGAGGTCAAGAAGCAATTCTTGGATGATTTGGACGAGATGGTGCGTAGTATTCCGCACACAAAGAAGTTGTTCATTGGCGGAGATTTAAATGGCCATATTGGGGCTAGTGCTAGGGGTTATGATGATGTGCCTGGCAGGTTCGATTTTGCCGATAGGAATGAGGAAAGGAATTCACTGTTGGATTTTGCTAGAGCTTTTGATTTGGTTATAGCTAACTCGAGTATTCCAAAGAGGGAGAGCACCCAGTCACTTTCCAGAATTCAATGGGCAAGACTCAGATTGATTATCTTCTCTGCAGGAAATGCGATAAAGGTCTGCGCACTGACTGCAAGTTCATCCCAAGTGAGCACCTCACGACCCTACATAAGCTCCTAGTTATGGACCTAGAGGTCAAGAGGAGTAGGAAGAACAGGGCGGGGTGCAGGCAACCTAAGATCAAGTGGGGTAACTTGACCAAGGACAGAGCTCAGGAGTTAGGGGAGAAGTAGTTGGTTTTGAGGGCCTGGATGAGTAGGGGGGACGCATCTAGTATGTGGTTCACGACAGCGAATTGCATTCGGGTAGCTGCTAGAGAGGTCTTATGGGTAACGAAGGGCTCTCTTGGGGGTCATAAAGGGGACTGCCGGTGGAATGGAGAGGTTCAAGATAAAGTGGAAGCTAAGAAAGCTGCTTATTTGAAGCTAGTGGAGAGTACAAACGAGGAGGAAAAAAGAGCTTATCGGGAGTGTTACAGAAAGGAAAAGAAAGAAGAGAAATTAGCAGTTACGACGGCTAAGAATGCGGCATTTGCTCGTTTAGACGAGGAGCTCAGGAGCAAAGGCGGGGGACAACAAGTTGTACCGGTTGGCCCAGGTGAGGGAGAAGAAAGCCCGCGACTTAGACCAAGTCAAGTGTATCAAGGACGAGGATGGCAAAGTATTGATGGACGAGGCACTTATTATGAGAAGATGGCAGACATACTTCTAAAAACTGTTGAACGAGGAGGGGGATAGACGCATTGTGCTGGGTGAGTTGGAGCACTCCGAGAGTCGGCGGGATTTTGGGTACTGTAGGCGGATTACGGTAGAGGAGGTGGAAGGGGCAATGCGTAAGATGTGTAGCGGCAGAGCGACGGGGCCAGACAAAATCCCGGTGGAAGTCAGGAAGAGCGCGGGGCGAGCAGGTTTTGAGTGGCTCACTGGGCTGTTTAATGTTATTTTTAAGACGAAAAAGAAGCCCGAAGAATGGAGGTGGAGTACGATGGTTCTTCTTTACAAGAACAAAGGTGATATTCAAAATTGCAACAATTATAGGGGTATCAAGTTGTTGAGTCACACTATGAAGGTTTGGGAGAGGGTGGTGGAGGCCAGGGTGAGGAGGTGCGTGTCTATTTTCGAGAATGAGATTGGACTCATGCCAGGGCGTTCGACTACGGAAGCGATTCATCTGGTAAGATGATTAGTGGAGCAGTAAAGGGAGAGGAAGAAGGACTTGCATATGGTGTTTATTGACCATGAGAAAGCGTACGATAAAGTCCCGGGGGAGGTCCTGTGGAGGAGTTTTGAGGCCAGCGGCATTCCGGTAGCGTACATTAGGGTGATTAAGGATATGTATGAGGATGCTAAGACTCGGGTGAGGATTTTGGGTGGTGACTCGGAGCATTTCCCTGTGGTGATGGGGTTGCACCAGGGATAGGCTCTTAGCCCATTTTTATTTGCCTTGGCGATGGATGTACTTTCGCGACACATCCAAGGGGAGGTGCCTTGGTGCATGCTATTTGCCGATGATATAGTGCTGATTGATGAGACACGAAGCGGAGTTAATGCGAGGTTGGAGGTTTGGAGACAGATCTTGGAGTCTAAAGGTTACAAACTGAGTAGAACCAAGACAGAATGCTTGGAGTGCAGATTCAGTGACGGGACCCATGAAGCAGACGTAGAGGTAAAACTTGATGCTCAATTCATCCCCAAGAGAGCGAGTTTTAAGTATCTCAGTTCTATTATCCAGGGTAATGGTGAGATTGACGAAGATGTCGCACATCGCAACAGAGCGATATGGATGAAGTAGAGGCTCACTTCCGGTGTTTTATGTGATAAGCATGTGCCGCCAAGACTTAAGGGTAAGTGTTATAGAGTGGTGGTTCGACCGGCTATGCTGTATGGGGCTAAGTGTTGGCCAGTCAAGAACTCCCACGTGCAGAAGATGAAAGTAGCAGAGATGAGGATGTTGAGATGGATGTGTGGGTGTACCGGGAGAGATAGGATTAAGAATGAAGCTATCCGGGACAGAGTGGGAGTAGCCCCCGTGGAAGACAAGATGCGATAGTCGAGGCTGAGATGGTTCAGACATGTTAAGAGGAGAAGCATTGATGCTCCTGTTAGGAGGTGTAAGAGGTTGGCCATGGAAAGTTTGAGAAGAGGTCGAGGTAGGCCTAAGAAGTACTGGGGAGAGGTGATTAGATAGAACATGGCGATGTTTCAGCTCACCGAGGACATGACCCCTGAGAGGAGGGTGGGGAGGTCGAGGATTAAGGTAGAAGTTTAGTGGGTAGTTTTAAGTTGTTCACCGATTGTCTTAGTAGCATGCATGTCCCTTCATATTCTTAGATTTTTACGTTATGTGGTTTGTATTCCCTGTTGCTATCATTTGGTATTACTTATCATTTATCTCTCCCTTTTTCTGTTCGCTTCCTTCTTTCTTCCTTCCTAGATTTCCCCTTCTTCTTACCCTTCCTGAGCCGAGGGTCTGTTGGAAACAGCCTCTCTACCTGCATTAGGTAGGGGTAAGGTCTGCGTACAGACTACCCTCCCCAGACCCCACCTGTTGGGATCATACTGGGTTTGTTGTTATTGTTGTTGGTATATAAATTGCAAGTATTTCTTAAAAAAATTCATAGTTTCTATTCCTTAACATATTATTTTGTATGTAGACTTATAAGTTTGAATGGTCCAGTAGGTCCCTGGAGAATTTAGCCCGTAGATGTCTAGTAACTCAAACAACTTGCGAAGTAAACTACTTCCATTTTCGTTATCTCTTATTAGCATTACTTGTCTTATGGGTTTTTATTATCGTCGTTGTTCTTGTAACACCATATTTTTAGCATCGCATGATAACTCATCTCACATGTTATGTTGAGAATTACCATATAATTATTATATCTTACTATAATAGAAGAAGTATTTGGGATCATTAGTTATATGTTTTATGTTATGGAGACCCTACCAAAAAAATCAGAAAAGCTAACCAAACCGAAAACTGAAAAAACCAAGCCGAAAAAAACGAACATATTTTTATTTGGTTTGATTTATATATTTAAAAACCCAACGTAATTAGTTTGATTTGGTAAATGAAAAATCAAACCAACCCAACCTATGTACTATTAGCACATAAAAGAATTCTTGTAAACTCTGACTTCATACTCTACTAGAGTTCTTGTTGTACTTGTTGTCCCTAATGACTTGCCTCTGTACTATTGTCATTTATAATGGGAAGCTCTCATGAAGAGCAATTATCTGGGGCAGAACATTGCTTTACACATGGTATCTGTCACGATTCCAATTTCTCACCGGAAGATGTCGTGATGGCACCTAATTTTTAAGACTAGGTAAGTCTAACATGCATGAAAAAATAAAGAAAATAATAATAGAACTTCAAATTTAAACCATCTAACTATCATAAAAGAACTCAACAATACCATTGAAAATAACTCCCAAAATCTAGTGAGACTGAGTCATAAGTCTACACGAATATATCGTAAAATCTCTAATACATCACTGTCCAAATAAAGAGTAAGCAGTAAAAAAAATAAGGACAGAGGGTTTCCGAGGCCTGCGGACACCAAATAGGTATACCTTGAAGTCTCTGAGATGTATAGCCAAATCATGATGCCTGGCCTGATATAAGGTACCTGGATATGCACAAAAAGATGTGTAGTAGCATAGTATGAGTACACTAGAATGGTACACAGTAAGTATCAGGCCTAACCTCGATAGAGTAGCGACGAGGATAGGTCAAGACACCTACTAAGATAGGAAAAAGAAGATGAACACGTATAGTTGTTGCTCCCAAACGCACACGCAAGTATACATGTTCATACAAGTAATATAGGATTGTAAGTCCAGATATCGTACCTAGAGAGACTTATGATTAACTATCAACTAAATTAAACCCAAACACTTAATCTATTCAAACGATTTTCTAAAGTGTGAATATTTAACAAACTAATCTAGAGTAACAAATTAAGAAATTAAAGGAAACAAGTTCGCGAAATTAGACACGAATGTAATAAGAGATGATATTCCAAAGTTATGGGTTAACTAACAATCCCGTAGAATCTTCCATTTAAATTTTCTAATTAATTTATCTGATTTATCAATTGACAGGGTTAATATTACTCGTAGTATTCTCCCGAAGTACTACTCGTCAATTCAAGCTAACCTAACACCTATATTCCTATGGAATTAGATTAACAAGAACGCATTAGTAATTCCTGTATAATAACCAAGCAAGACGATTAGGTATATCCCTATCCTAACTGCTAATCCGTTCCCGATACTCAGGTTAAAGCTCTTGCTCTACTCAATCGTATATGCAATCTAGAATTCCCTCTCCCGAGTTCAATCCTAAATTCGTAGATAGTATTCAACTGGTAATGAAACAACCAAATAATTAAACTCAAGATTGAATAAATGAACCATTATGATAAAATAATAAGAATAATTCAAACTTCACACTACAACGTTCATTTAGCACCCCACAACTCTAGAACAAATAAAATATAAAGTTAAAGGACGAGAAGAGTACGAAAAGTAGTTAGAAGCCTCCTCTAATCGTGGTTTGTGTTCTCCCCTCGTGAATTCTCCTACAAAGTCTGTTTTATATCCTCCAAATTAGGTTTAGGACCCCTTTTATATGAGTTGGAAACGTGTAGGGCCAAAATAAGCTTGTCCCGGACGAAATAGGAAAAATCTCGCACCTTGCCCTGGCGTAGAAACCAAAAACATTTTCACGTTCAATTCCATCTTTGCGTTCAATTGAATTGACCTTCCCTTTTGTCGTACACTTGAGGGGACAAACACCCAAGGGTGTCCCCCCCCCCCCCCCCCCTCTTTTGTCTCTTTATTTTATTCTTTTCTTTTCTTTTCTTTTTGTTTCGCGTTTTATTCAATTTTGCTCCATATCTCTTCATCTTCACACTTTTTTATTCCTACACGGTTAAAATATCATATCAAGTATAAATAAACCAAATTAATACTCAAAAGATGATTAAAAGTACTAAAATGTGACGCAACAACATTAAAATATATGCATTTTTGGCCGAACATCAATATTATAATCTAATAATGGCAACGAGGAAAATGAGGCAATAAAGAAATACAACAAGATAAGCTACCACT